TGCACCTCCCTCAACTCTCTTAGAATTTTCGCCCCCCCTCTCTCTCTCTCTTTCTCTCTCTCTCTCTCTCTCTCTCTCTCTCTCTCTCTCTCTCTCTCTCTCATTCTCTTTCATCATTCTCTTTCTCAAAATGTCACGTGCTGTTTGTTTCCTGTTAGCGTTAATGAAGTTGATGTTATAATCACATAAAACTGGAAAGAGATTATCAGCACGAGTAAACTTATCAACAAGAAAAATAGACGAAATGGGTTTCAGTTAAGATTTTATTCTCTTGACTCAAACAGCAGAAAACAATGAAATAATCAGCAGCCAAATTTTAATATACGCACGCACGCACACACATGTATCATCGCACGCACGCACGCATGCGTGCACGGACATACACGCACACACGCTCCCGCAGATACTGAACTAAAGGCAATGAACTACTGAATCCGCCAGATTTATTGACACGCACTGGCGCCCTCTACCGGCAACTAAAACACTTAAACGCAATTAAAATTTCCGACCGCGATTGTCCGCATGACGTATTCCCTCGCATCGGCCCGGTGACCTTTGACCCCTGCACCCTATACGCAGCAACCACCAACCTCGGCACCCTATATGCAGTATCCCTGCACCTACACCCTAACCTTCTCTAAATACTGTTCCAGCCCGGCGACCGTTGTCTGTACTCTGGCTCCCAGTCTGCCTCGACCTGGCTGCTGCCCGTTACTCCCGCTGCATGACCTTTAACCCCTTCACCCGCGTCACGCCACGCGACGATGTGACGTCACGGTCGCGCGTGGGCCGATCGTCGGGGGCGGCGTCACATCTACCACTAGAGGGCGTTGCATGTCGTCACGACCTCACTACTAGCCAATCAGCGGATCCCGTTCATCTTCGGATGCTCTGACCTCTACTCTAAGGTCGGTGGTCGCTATCGGACAACTCACGAGAGAAACGCAGCTAAGAAATCTAAAATGCGAGATCGGCCAAGATCGCTATATCGTCAACAACGACTTTTTTCACCACATCGTCAACTACGCAAGAAATAAGGTGACGGAAATATATAAAAAAAAAAGAAGTGCGCTCGCGAAAAAATGTGCGCGAGATTTCGTCGTCGCCGTGGGAAGCCACGCTCTCTCTGCCTCCTCATCCGCACCGCGCATCACGCTCACTCCCGTCGTCGTCATGGGAAGCCACGCTCTCTCTGCCTCCTCATCCGCACCGCGCATCACGCTCACTCCCGTCGTCGTCATGGGAAGCCACGCTCTCTCTGCCTCCTCATCCGCACCGCGCATCACGCTCACTCCCGTCGTCGTCATGGGAAGCCACGCTCTCTCTGCCTCCTCATCCGCACATACGCGCTGTGCCCGGTCTGATTGACCGCTTGACTGGCGCCGGACGTCGAATCCTAGTCCGATTTTTCGGCGCAACACTATTTCCACTCTGCTCGGCTGTGTTTTTGGCACAGCGCCATTTCCTCTCAGCCTTTCCCTGTTTTCGGCGCAGCAGTGTTTCCTCTGAGCTATTCCATTGTTTTCGGTGCAGCACAATTTCCTCTCAGCTTGTCCGTGTTCTCGGCGCAGCACAGTTTTTACTGCCGGATCGTCTGTATTTCGAGCACAGCACAGTTTCCTCTCCGATTGCTTGCATTTCCGGTGCAACATCATCCCTTCTCATTCGCCCGTGCCTCCGGTGCAGCACTGTTTCCTCTCAGCACATCTGCGTTTCTGGTGCAACAGTGTTTCCTTGCCGATCGTCTGTCCGTCTGCGCTGCCGCTGCCATCTCCTCGCGTCGTCGTCTGCTAGGTGACGGTTGCCATGACGATCCCACGCGCAGAGCGTGCGTCTGCCGCACAGCTGGTGCTGACCAGATGGCGCCACCATGCTCACACCGGCCGTTTCCTGGAAAACACAAAGGAGATGTTGTGAGAGCTGACAGATAGATAGACGGACAGGCAGACGGACGGACAGACAGACAGACAGACAAACAGACAGACAGACAGACAGACAGACAGACAGACAGACAGACAGACAGACAGACAGACAGACAGACAGACAGACAGACAGACAGACAGACAAACA